AGCAGTGCGGGGACTCCTTTCATCTTGCAACTGCCCGAGCAATGCTGCAAATCCGTTTCCCTTAATATCAAACCTTTACCAGTTGTTACACTGGAGGGCCTTGCCTCTTTCTTTAGATTTTCAGTCTCAGGGCCTTTCCCTGGCTCTGCGAGTCCTAACGCGTGGGGTGCCCAGCTATTTGACCAAACGTTATTCTGGGCTTTTCTGTGAGGGTGTTTTTGGATGAGATTAACATTTAAATGGGTGGACTATGATAGGGCAGATCATCTCCATAATGTGGGTGGGCCTCAGCCAATCAACTAAAGGCCTGAACAAAACAAAAAGACTGTCCTAACCGGTTTGGCTCAGTGGATAGAGCATTGGCCTGCAGACTCAAGGGTTCCAGGTTCGATTCTGATCAAGGGCATGTACCTTGGTTGCAGGGCACATACCCAGTGGGAGATGTGCAGGAGGCAGCTGATCGATGTTTCTCTCTCATTGATGTTTCTAACTATCTCTCTTCCTTCCTCTCTGTAAAAAAATCAATAAAGCTGAAACCGGTTTGGCTCAGTGGATAGAGCGTTGGCCTGCGGACTGAAGGGTCCCGGGTTCGATTCCAGTCAAGGGCATGTACCTTGGTTGCGGTCATATCCCCAGTGGAAGATGTGCAGGAGGCAGCTGATTGATGTTTCTAACTCTCTCTCTCCCTTCCTCTCTGTAAAAAATCAATAAAATATATATTAAAAAAAAAAAAAAAAGGCTGGCCTTCCCAGGGCCAGAAAGGATGCTCAGGCAGGCAGCCATCAGATTTCACCCGCGTTGTGGGCTTTTCCTGGGTCCCTGGCAGCCAGCCATCGGACTGGGGCTGGAGTGTGCGCTCCATAACCACAAGCCAATTCCTCATCATAAACCTCCTTCTACATATACACATACATCCCATTGAGGTTTCTCTGGAGAATCCCAATGCAAGGAGGATTTTCCTTCCTGTTTTGTGGGCATCACTTCCTGTTCCCAAGGCCCTCACCCCAGCAGTGCAGCCTCTTCAGGGAGCAGCAGTGCAGTCCAGCTCGAGACTGGCCAACGTCAGGCGCTTCTTGAGTGCAGAGATGAGCCCCAGCGCTCGCCTCCTCATAGGTCGGAGTTCAGCTCACAGGGGTGCTCTGCCAACGTCTCACCTGTGAACAACTCTAACCACTCCTCTTTGTTCCTGCTTTGTAGCTTGCACTGTGGAGGTCAGACCGATACTGTCCCACCCAAACTGGTTCAGATGTCCAGACTAATGACATCACACACATCAACAGGTTACAGAAAAGTTTATGGGTTACAAAAGTTACGTAATGAGGCTCCCTGGGGAGAGGACAGACACGCCAGCTGGTTTGCCTTGATAGAAAGGAGGAGTGAGCCGCTCTGTTTTTATTGTGGACTAGAGGCCAAGTGCACGGATTTGTGCACCGGTGGGGTCCCCTGGCCTGGCCTGCACCCTCCCAGGACCCCGCAGGAGACATCAGACTGCCGGTTTCAGCCCGATCCCCACAGGCCAGGCCGAGGGACCCCCACTGGTGCACAAAACCGTGCATGGGCCTCTAGTATGTATAGAAGATCTTTGGTTAATCTCTTCCCGCTCTCCCCCTTTTCCCTCTGACATTCATCAGTCTGTTCCATGTTTCCATGCCTGTGCATTGAGTGTCTGCCCCCTGGTGGTCAGTGTGCATCATAGCTACCGGTCAAACCCTCACTTAGGCTTTTATATAGCTAGATAGAGGTGAGGGTTCCAATGCAATGAAAAATGCGTTTCCTCTCTGGAGCTGAGGAGTGCTTGGGCTTTCAGATTAGCCTGCCCAGATGTGAGAGAAAGGGCTTGAAAGTTCAAGTTATCAGTGGTCAAACATCTAAAAGGGGGTCAGCCTCGTATTACAGCTCACGCAGTCCTACAGGGGGCATGGTGAGGGGGGGAGTTAGTTGCTCCTGTTACCACCTCCATGATGCCTCCCCATTTTCTTTCTGCCTTTTTACTCAGATATATCTAGTGAACAATTCTTTTTTTTAATAATATAAATTTATTTTAAAACCTCACCTGAGGCTATTTTCCCTCTGCAGGCCGACGCTCTATCCACTGAGCCAAACCGGTTTCGGCTCCATTCATTTTTAGAGAGAGTGGAAGACAGCAGGAAAGACAGAAACATTGACATGAAAGAAACACGTCAATTGGTTGCCTCCTGCAGGTGCCCTGACCAGGTCCTGGGCCAGGGAGGAACCTGTAACAGAGGTTCAGGCCCTTGACTGGAAATGAACCCAGGACCCTTCAGTCAGTAGGCTGACGTTCTACCCACTGAGCCAAACCAGCCAGGGCTAGTGAACAATTCTTTATGAAGCTCTCGTTAAAACAACTGGCATGGTTTCTGGCCCCTGAATAGAACCTGGTTGATGCGAAGCCTTTCCTCCTCTTGGCAGGGTTGGCATGAACTTAAAGGCTGAGGTGGCTGGTACGTGAGCGTTCATGACCCTCACCTACCTAAAAAGTGGGATGAATGACTCAGCGTCTCCGTCCACAGATCCCATTTCATCTTTGAACTTGAGTCTACAGCTTCTGGCTTTATTTATTACTGGGCAAGGAGGAGCTAAAGGAACTGAGCCTATGATTTCCTGTAAACCACATGTCTTGGAGATCACGTGTCCACGCATGGCGAGCATCCTCCCCTGTAGCTGTTGCTGGGTGTCCACCCCAAGGAGCAGGGCTGTTAGCCACTCCTTTCCTCGGGGCCGTCTGTGCTGCTCCGACGCTGCAGGTGAGGAACCTGGAACCTGGAGCGATTAGCGATGCATCTCACACCCGGTGAAGCAGAGCCAGGATCTCTGTGAATCAGAAAATGTCAGGGCCCAGGCGTAAAAACTTTTTATTTTTAAGGGTTTTAAGCAGACAGTTAAAAAAGCACCCACCGCACTATGCTACTAAATCCACATGCTGACCAACATTGACAGTAATTTTAAAAAAAAAAACACAAATGAAGCCTCCAATTTCATCAGCAACCCCTGCCCTGGGAGGGCAGAGCAGGACTTTCACACATCGTTCCAATACACAGTTTCATATTCTGGTTTCATATAATTTGCATCCACAGGAAATGTATCAGCTGTTCTCAACCTGTGGGTCGTGACCCCTTTGGCAGTCGAACGACCCTTTCACAGGGGTTGCCTAAGACCATCCTGCATATCAGATATTTATTTACATTACAATTCATAACAGTAGCAACATTAAAGTCATGAAGTAGCAACGGAAATAATTTTATGGTTGGGTCACAACTAGAGGAACTGTATTTAAAGGGCCAGAGGTTGAGAACCACTGAAATATGTAGGGCAAAACAGTAACAACATGGTTTACTATATGCCAACAGTGCTCACACGGCAGCCACTGTTCTAACCACTTTACTTACATCATTTCATTAACTACCCCCAACCCCAGTCACCCTGTGAGGTTGGCACAAATATTTCATTTTACAGAAAAAGTGAAACACAAAGACGTTTAAGTAACGGACTCACAGATACAGTGTTGAACTTTACAGAAACGGTACTTGTCTGTACCTTCACCAGTTTCTCGTTTTATTTATCCGTGAAAGATGCAACTCCAGCTCTTTCACACTCGCTTCCCAAAGTTCCAAAACAACCCACTGACTTCTCTGTTCTTCTGCTGATGGGAATGTGGGCTTTTCCCAATCTCGCTATCTCAACAATCTTTCCAACTGCAACGAACAGTATTGCAATGCAGGCTCACACGCATCTCCTGGTAAGAAGCTGTTCTGTGGTTTATCCAGGAGATTTACTAGGTGACCGAATACACACAACTTTACAAGATTTTGCAAACCGCTTTGCACAACTGTCATCACAGTTCCCGCTCCCACAGCAGGGAGTGCCCAGGGCCCACACACCCACATAAACAATTTGCCAGGGGGGAATGTGTGAGATGGTCCGTATTCATTCACATTTCCTGGGCTTTCTTCTCTGTACACGACTCTGTGGGCTGACAGTCTCGGTCAGCAAGGCTGGGCTGACACCGGACAGCTGACTGAAAGACCTGCTGATGCCCACCTGTCTCTCTTCAGCCCCAACTTCAGTTCTTAGGGAGAGAAGGCAGGGCAGGGTTGGAAAAGGGGGTGTGCCCTCCAGGCCAGAGAGGGGTGCGAGATGGGTACTGTGGCTGGGGCCGTCGAAAACTGTTCACTGGTGCCTGTGGCTCAGAACCACAGAGAGCCGGGCTCCTAATTATAGGAATGCACTTGTGGGTGGCCTCCAGTCGACGTTTCACTCAAGAACCCTTTCAAAAGACTCCAATCATGACTCAGCTAAACTAAATTCAGCTCTATCTTCCTCAACAGAGGCAACTTTATGCAAAATCTCTGCGTGGCCAACAGATAAGCAAGCACTCAGCCCTGGCCTCAGTCTGGCTGTGGTGGTGGGCGTAACTTCTGCAAATCCAGACAACACCTAAGACAGCACGAAACAGGGACCAGGAGAGACGGGGCAGGGGAGAGGGCTTCAAGGGACGAGGGTCAGGGAAAGCTGGGCCTGGAAGAGTGAGGTCCTGAGCCAGCATGGACAGGTATGGCACTGCAGGTGAAGGGAGACAGCATACAGCAGCCTGCAGAGGTCAGAGCTGCAATCACAACTGCTTACACAGGCTGAGAGCTGCTGGTCTCAGAATATTCAGATATTTGACGGGGACAGGTAGGAGGGGGGTGTCCACGCATAGAAACAGGCAGCAGGGGTAACTGAATAAAACATTTTCAGCTCCAACATTTTACTGAGTCCTTGGGTCTGTGGTTAACTCTCTTAAATGTAATTCACATTCAGACCACATCACTTCTAAACTCAAGTCATCCAAAAGCACTCGGCAGGTGTGGCTGTGGTTGAGCGTTGTCCCCTGCACCAAGAGGTCATTGATTCCCTGTCAGGCACATGCCTGGGTTGCGGCTCGATCCCCAGTGGGGGAATGCAGGAGGCAGCCGATCGATGATGTTTTTCTCTCACTGATGTTTCTCTCTCTCTCTCTCTCTCTCTCTCTCTTCTTCTCCCTCTCCCTTCCTCTCTCTCTAAATCAATATATGGAATTTTATATCGTCCAGGCCCAGTGAGGCCCCTGATGCCCTGCGGCTTGCCCACCGCCTCTGGCCCCCTCTCTTCCACTGGCTCACTCCACTCCAGCCCAGGGGCACCCTGTCACTCCCTGAGACACCAGACAGGAGCCCACCTCCTGTGCGTGGCTCTAGAGACCGCCAGAGCCCACTCCCGACTCCTTCAGGTCTTTGCTCAAATGTCACCTTCTCAGTCGAGGCCCTTCATGACCAGCCTGTTTAAAACCACAGCACACCTCCCAATCCAGCATGCCCTTTGACGCTTCTCCAATGCATGTTGCCCACAACACACACACCAACCCAAACATTTATGGATCGCATATGTTTATCTGTAAAGATCCAAGATGGCACTGTTCGGATCACTGCTGTGTCTCTGGCACGTGGGAGAAGCTCAGCACATTTCTGTTTAACAGACGGAGCTGCACACCTGGGGAATGGGATGGGGATGGGGATGGGGAATGGGATGGGGATGGGGACGGGGACGGGATGGGAGCGATCCACGCTCCAGTGAGGGACCTGACACATGCTCTCCTCCACTTGGCGCCCACAGCAGAGATCCAAGCCAGCTGTGAAGGCTGAAGCCGCAGCCAGAGCTCCCCAGGAGGCATATGGGGCGACTCGGAGGAGTTCCTGCAGCTGCTGTTGCTTTAAGGTCAAACAGAATAGGGACCAGAACAGATCAAACTCCGAGGAAAACCTCAGGGCCCCTTCCCAGCAGCCACGGCCTGCCTCGCCAACGCAGAAGGGCACCGGCCTGCGTCTCCCTTTAGTTACGGAAGAAGACCTGGCCGGGGAGCTCCAGGCCATGGCACAAAGGCCACTCCTGAGGGCCCGAGTCTCCGGAAGGTCCCCAAAGAGCATCTCATCCCCAGCAGGTAAAACGAAGGGCCTCTGAGCTTTTGAATCCTCGGGATTCTCTGCGACCAGCTTCCACAATAAAGAGGGCTGGGTCCTCTGGGAGCACTTTCCCGCAGCGCCTCCCTCTGAGGTCCTCCAGGAACCGCCTCTTCCCTCCGTCAGGCCCCAGCTAATCACCAAGGTGCCCTTTCATGTGCCGAGCCAGGTTGGAAGCCCACCGGAAGGTCTTCCCGCACTTGGTGCACTTGAAGGGCCTCTCGCGAGTGTGGAATCTCCTGTGACTGATGAGCTGGGAGGTCTTGCTGAACGCTTTCCCACACGTGTTACACTTGTGACACTTTTTCGCCACGGGTAAGTCCTGCGGTCCGCTGGGCCCGGAACCCTGCTCACGGCCCTCCACGCGCCTCTCCCCGCTCCGTTTTAACCCCTGCAAACTCGCCCCTCTGTCCTGAGAGGAAGACGGCCCGGCCAGGCTGCTTTCCGACGGCGCCAGGCGGGTGTGCTTCCTCTGGTGGATGCAGAGGGTGTGCTTTGCGATGAAGTCTTTCCCACACCACTGACATCTGAAAGGCTTCTCTTTCGTGTGGGTTCTCTGGTGATTCACCAGGCGGTACTTTCGATCGTAAGATTTCTCGCAGAGGTTACATTTGTAGCGCTTCTCTCCACTGTGGATCCCCTTATGATCTAAGAGGGTTCTTTTACGCGTAAAGCTCTTCCCGCATTCTTGGCACCAGAAGGCTTTCTTCTCGTCCTCCAGGCTTTGTGGCTGCGCATCTGCAGTGTCCCTGCTCTCGCGGTACAGGAGCAGCCGTTTTCCCAGAAAGTGGCTCCTCTGGTGTCGCGAGAGGTTGGAACTCCACCGGAAAGCTTTCCCACAATCCCTGCACTCATACGGCTTCTCTCTGGTGTGAACCCGCTGGTGGATGAGGAGGAAGGAGTGGTTCTGGAAGCCTTTCCCGCACTGGCTGCATGTGAAGGGCTTCTCCGGGGCCGGGCTGCTCGGGGCAGGGCTGCTCGGGGCCGGGCTGCTCGGAGGGACCTGGAGCGCTCCGTCCTGGCTGCGGGAGGACCGGTCATCAGGGCTTCTGTTGAGGGCATGCTGCTTCCTACGAACGATCAATTTCGACCTGTGCGTCAACTCCTTCGCACGTTCGCCGCAGCGGTACGGTTCCTGGCCTGTGTGGGTCCTCTGATGGTTAAGGAGCGCTTTCCTCCCGGGGAAAGTCTGCCCACACTGCGGGCACAGGAAAGCTTCCTCCGCAGGGGGGTCGCTCTGGGGCTGACTGCAGCCGGGGGCCTCCCTCCAGTCTTCACCGCCCCCGTCTGGGCTACAGAACTCTTCTTCCTGGTGCATTCTTTGGTGGCGAGAGAAGTTGGACCTCCACCGAAAGGTTTTCCTGCACTTGGTACATTTAAAGGGCTTCTCCTGGGTGTGGATCCTTTGATGCTGGAGGATATACGATTTACAGTGGAAGGATTTCCTGCACTGGCTGCAGTCAAAGAGCTTCTCCCCGCTTTGGTCTTGCAAATGATGATCCAACCGGGGGCCGTAGGCGAGCGCTTCCTGACACCGCCTCGTTTTGAGATACAGCTGGTTGGCGTGGGACTCCTGGTGCAGGTGGTAGGCGTACAGGCGCTGGAAAGCTTTGCCGCATAAATTGCATTTATAAGGTTTCAGTCCAGTGTGAATTCTCTCGTGTCGCGTGCGATTGGAACTCCACCTGAAGGCTCTCCCACACACTCGGCATTTAAACGGCTTCTCCTGAGTGTGGAGTCTCTGATGGTATTCGAGGTAGGAGCTACGGCTGAAGTTCCTCCCACAGTCAGCACACTTATAGAAAGTCCCCACCACATGAAGATTGCGTTGGTGATGCGAGCTGAGGCTGAAGTCTTTCCCGTGCGCTTCCTTTGAGGGGGCTTTCATTCCAGCGTGAATTCTGTGATGTAGGTTAAACCCGCTGATCACGAGCCTGAGGCCTTTCCCGTACTCCTTGTAGTCATAGTGGTATGAGCTCCCTCTGAAGTGTCGGCCGCAGCCATGCTTCCTTTTTCTTTTGGGAACTCGGAAATATACGTGTCTGAGACTGACACTACTACCGCCGCCCGAGTCTTCCGGTTCCTTTCCTGTCCGGTGACTGAAACTGGCCTCTTTTCTCTTAGCACTCGTGTGTGTGGGATTGCCACCTCCCTCCTGGAACGGGCTCTTCTGTTCCACAGGTTCTCTGGGCCCTGTTTCCTCAGAAACACTCATCACACGACATCCTGACGACACAGCTAAGGCCTGTGCGTCTTCCAAAGGTTTGGGGTTTAGGATGAGCTTGCTTGATTTAATCTGGAGCTCGCCTCCTGACACAAAATAAAGCACAAGAGAAT